TCACCAAACTCAAAATGCTGAGCCAACCATGACATGGAGCAGGATACAGGACTCTGAGACCAGGCAGACCAACCTAAGAACCACCTGGATTGGGTACCAGAGAGCCTGTAATTCAATAGATGAAACAATCCTGTCACCACTTGTGGACACAAGCAGTTAAAAACATTCACTACTCTGAGATCCACTAAACGTATCATTTACATTGTATTCGTTTGTCTGTTTTTTTCTTATATGGCTTTGTTTTTTTGGTCACGTAATTTTATTTTTCTGCCCTATTGCTGAAAAACCTACATTTGATCTAAAAATGTGCTAGTTTCTCAGTACTATTTGAGCCTGCAAAGCTGTTGCTTAAAATACAAACATTCATCACCACCTCCAATTATATCTAGCAGCCCCTGAGCAGGGCACTGAGGCTGCTGCACAGTGAACATAGAAACCTGACTGTAAAACCAACCTTTTCCTGTTCTCGTCTTTGTCTGTGAGTAAAACAATGCATTCCCCTCCAAGCATAATTTTCTCCAAAAGTAGAATGAGATGGCCCAGCCCATGTAATTGGTTACATTATTAGTCATTAGTTCCATCGTATGCTAATTAGCTCATATGTTAATTTGCAGGGCCCGATGAATCCCAACGCCCGTCTCTGTGTAATTAGTCTGTAATTCCTTTGCATCCTGTGGAACAGGCAAACCAAAGTGTGTCTGAGCCAACAGAGGGAGGAACTGGGGACTAATTAGAAATATCTCACATGAAGCATTTCTGTATTAATTACAACAGTTTCTGTGTCCTTCCTTCTCCCCATAACTGGGCTGTGTCAGAGGAGGACATCGCAAACCAACAAGGAGCCCAACTGCTGCTTAATCAAAGATGTGGCTCTTTTTTTTTTTTTGCATCTTTAATTGGAATTAATTAGGATTGCCCAAATACTGTGTGTGTGTGTCTGTGTGTATTCGCTGTACTCTGAGATGTTCTTACTTCTTTTGGATTTCTTCATTTATCTGATGATGCCATTCTCAACAACACACAGGCAGCAGGATTGAACCAACATATCAGAGGGAGTCGGCTGTTTTTAAGGCGGACACAAAACTGCCGATGCCCACTGTAATGTACTGCAGTTTAACAGATATCACTACTCTGTGTCCCGTAGATCAGCTTTCAATCACATTCTTGGCGTAAGGTTTCTCTTTTTTCACACCTCATTTTGTCCAATTAGCAGTCTTTGGTTGCTTCATCATCTTCATGCTTTCCATCAGCCCGATGTCATCTCCCGCTGCAGCTGTACAGGGCTTTCTGACCCTAACGTTTCAACAGTAAATATTACAGGTCGATGCTTTCATTTTTTAGAGCCTTCTCAGAAGACAACATTAAGTTAAGGGAAGAACAACCACTGAACCTGTGAAAGAATCATGGGCACACAAGGCTCAATAATTGGCATCGAGAGCAAAAGCTGGCTGCGTCGCTTCAGAATGGACAAAGTGCCAACGCCAAAAGATCCTACATTGAACGCAAGCATCACAATTGAACCATGAAGAGGTGGTTACGCTGTGTTTTAGTTAAAAGTGCTGAGTGAGAAACCTCTGGCAGAACTTTTAACAGTATTTGCTCTGATTGCTTGTTTTCTCTCCAATACTGTGGGATCTTTACAATACAAAGCACCATTGCTGTGGTTAAATCTGAATTCATCTCAAACACTTCCAGTACCTAATGTATCTGCTGCTGTGTCTGCACTCAGTCTCAGGAATGCCTGCACCCACAGCTTTAGTCAGGCTTATTGGGGTGTATTCAGTGACACGCCAAGTGTGTATGATGGCTCTTTTTCAATACAGCAACATGAATCTCTGTGCAGTTCAGCCGTGATTCTGCACGGTCAGCCATGAAACATCAAATCTCACGTTCATGTAAATACACATCGAGCAGTGCTACTGGCACCCGCACGTGGAATATGTAGTACATGACCTTGGCTCAGGCTGTGTCTAATTCAGTCTGTCGTTTTTGAGGACAGCACCGCAGGCGACGCCGCACGTCTCACTTCCACCCACATGATCTCAGGCTGTCTGTCTGACAGCCAGCAATTAGAACTTCACCAGTAACTACCCCAGACCCTCATTAGCAGTTAATTAAATTAATTCTATCAGGAATTATCCGTTTAAACCTGGGAGGAATAACATCGAGAAAGCGTTGAAACCCTCAAAAACATGAGAAGTCAACAGACCTTTTGTTCTCAACATGTCCATCTTTTACTGCGTGACTGCTTGAATTGTGAATTTATCCCCAATGAGTCTCTGCATGGCCAATCATACTCTGCTATGAGGCTTTATTGCACATGCACAGACATTAACTTTATCTAAAAAGCTAATGTTTTACTTCAGTTATTAACAGTTTCCTTGATCAGGTATGAAGCTGAAAGCATTTTTCACAATCAAAGTGTAGTTTTTATTCCAAAAAGCAGCATTTGTGAGCTGAAGCTTTACACATCCTATTCTCAACAACAGAAAACAAAGTTTCATCCCCCATAATTTAAACAATTATTTCACAAAAATAACATCCATTTAATTCGTCTCAAACAGGTAACAAAAGGCTACAAAAAGACTGGAGACATCTGCACAGAAATAAAAACATAGAAAAGTCAGTGTGGCTGGACTGTACACACGGTCGTCCTCATTCTGTCCCGCGTCCTCTTCTTTATGCTTCACTGCTGCGTCATCAAGTGAACTTATATGTGTGACTGTCAAGGAAACTGACTGAACACAGTAACACCACCATCCGGTCACTCTACATCACACAGCAAAACATTTCTCCATGGGCTCAAACGCAGCTGCAGTTCTGGCCTCTATCTGGTAATAACATCCACATTAGTATTACAGGGGAGGGGCTCCAGGCCGCTTTGGAAAATACCCCTATTGCGTACTTTTGTTGATGCCAAACGATTGGCACGTGTGCATTAGTTCATAGATAACATGACAGTAAGTGAAGACCTGTGCAATCTCAGGCAGACTTATCAGATTCATCACTGTGGATTCATCATGAGTGATGAATCCACAAATCTCCCAATAGTGTGTTTAGTCCACACTGCAGTGAAGAGGACATGTGACTAATGCGTTTGTTTCCCACTGACTGCATGATCCCTGCCTGGAAGAACAACTCCACAGCTTTAATTGTAGACTGAAAGTATCATTCAGCCATACAACATGTCAGCGAACTAAACTAGTTGCTGTGAGACTGTAAAGGATATGATTCATAGTCAAGTTTCTGGGTGAGAACTCCAGTCAGAATGAACTCAGCATTGTGGACATCTGGAAAACAGAGACCACAAGAGTGCAAATGAAACACAATGTCAACTTTATGAAGACACTCTGTAAAAAAAAAATAAAATGAGGATAAATACAAGTGGGCCCTGAGAGAGCATCTTACCAATGTTTTTCAAGAAGTATTCCCTGCAGAGGTGAAGGTCATTGTCGCAGGAAATTAATATGATCTCCGGAAGGTTCTGCAACCAAATGCCAACATGTGGTTACTGATTTATAGAGAAAAACTGTAATAAAAGACTTCTGTCAAACACATGTCTGTTTTATTTTGTGCTGAAATGAAAATACATGAAATAAAAGCTACACTCCTCCCAGGTTTCTGCCATATTGTCACAAGAACCCACCACCTCTGTGGACATTTACAAGTGCCTAGAGACATGAAAGAGTTGCAGCAACTTTCAGCACCTTATTCTGATTGTGCTCCATGATCTTTCTGTATGAGGGCTGCTTGGTCAGCAGCTTTCCTCCGGCGCTCTCCAGAATGGACTTCATTGTGCTGAGGCTTGGACAGATCCCTGGTGTGAGGTAGAAGTACTTCCCCTGCATCACCGTGTCACAGGAAATGCAAAAAGAGACTCAACCGTTAATCATCAGAACAATTAGTACACTGGTTTCCAGTTAGTCCAGCTCAGTTTGAATATACTAGTTCAGTCAACTGA